CGGAACCTTTCCGGTGTCCGAATATAGTCGTCCAATATATCAATCTTTATGTCTCGACCATTTCGAGACTCCTCGTCATGCCCGTGATCACATCCGGGACTCCGAACAAACTTCGGTACATCAAAACTTATAAACTCATAATAAAACAGTCATCGAAACGTTAAGCATGCGGACCCTACGGGTTCGAGAACTATGTAGACATGACCTAAAACCATTCTCGGTCAATAACCAATAGCGGGACCTGGATGCCCATATTGGTTCCTACATATTCTACGAAGATCTTTATCGGTCAAACCGCATAACAATATACGTTGTTCCCTTTGTCATCGGTATGTTACTTGCCCGAGATTTGATCGTCGGTATCCAATACCTAGTTCAATCTCGTTACCGGCAAGTCTCTTTACTCGTTCCGTAATACATCATCTCATAACTAACTCATTAGTTACATGCTTGCAAGGCTTAGGTGATGAGTATTACCGAGAGGGCCCAGAGATACCTCTCCGACAATCGGAGTGACAAATCCTAATCTCGAATTATGCTAACCCAACATGTACCTTCGGAAACACCTGTAGAGCACCTTTATAATCACCCAGTTACGTTGTGACGTTTGGTAGCACACAAAGTGTTCTTCCGATAAACGGGAGTTGCACAATCTCATAGTTGTAGGAACTTTGTATAAGTCATGAAGAAAGCAATAGCAGTATACTAAACGATCAAGTGCTAGGCTAACGGAATGGGTCATGTCAATCACATCATTCTTCTAATGATGTGATCCCACTAATCAAATGACAACACACGTCTATGGTTAGGAAACATAACCATCTTTGATTAATGAGCTAGTCAAGTAGAGGCATACTAGTGACTATAGTTTTGTCTATGTATTCACACATGTATTATGTTTCCGGTTAATACAATTCTAGCATGAATAATAAACATTTATCATGATATGAGGAAATAAATAATAACTTTATTATTGCCTCTAGGGCATATTTCCTTCAAAGACATCACCAAATCTTTGCTAGAATAGCAAAACCAAAGAAAACAAGAACCACAAGTATGCATTTCAGAAGATTTCCAACTTCCATAACTGCTCCAACAAGTTGGACTAATATCTTTTCCATGCATTCATTGTTGATCTGGGCATTCTTGTTTTTGCATTCTTTTTTTCATCTTTGGTTCGAAAGAAGTAGATGTTGCTTCCCTCTACTTGCACATGCAGCCGCATCATTGCCTTCGATAGTACTAAGGAGTGCACTAACATCTATTAACTTTCTTTCTATCAACAAATCAATGTATTGGCCTTCCCAAAACCAAAATGAGCATCCATCGTCCTACACAAAAGAATGAGCAAGCTCGAAGTGAGCTACCGCAATTGAACTAAAGGTATGAAATGAGCTACCGCAAGTGCACGTACCCCGTCGTTTTCGCATTTGAAGAACACCAATCCGGGGTGCTTCAGCGTGCCCGAAGTGAGCCGCAACACTTTCCGCGTGCAGTCGTCGCACTTTATGAGCGGCATCGGCAAGCCACAAAAGACGTTGCGCGAGCGCCGAGCCCGGTGGACGGCCGGACGAATCCATGCCCGCAAACCTTCGGCGGCGGCGGGCGGACGAACCCATCCTCGGAGGAGAGGTAGTTGGTGGGGGAAAGCGCGGGATGAACCCCCCCCCCCCACCAACCGCTTCCGCTTATATGCAGGGCACCGCAGCCGCGAGGGGGAAACCCGCGTTTTCCCGGGCTGGGGTCAGGATTTTGCCGCGGCCCCTAAAATGTTTTCCGGGCTGGGGCGGGATGCGGGTTCTGATCGGGCTGGTTTTTCCGCCCCGACCCGCATTTTGGCGGTTATTTTACGAGTCGGGGCGAAATGCGGGGTTTGCTAGAGTTGCTCTTAGAATAAAAATGCTGCTAATTTGCCGTGGGAATTTAGAAAATATTTCTAAGTTTGCAAAGTGTAGAAAAACATGACATGTGAACAGCAAAAAAAGTTTAAAATTGCCATTTGAAAAGTTTTAAATATTTTCATGTGAACATTTACCATGTATTTTGCCATCATCTAATTACTAAATTTTCCATGGTATAATTAAATTATTTGCCATTTTTTGAAAATTGCCATGGTGATAAAATTGCCCCCACCTACTACCATCGTCTAGTTACTAAAATTAAGGGGGGAAATGTGTACTAAAAATATTGTGGCAGAAAATTTAGAAAAGAAAGAAACATATTTGTAAGGTTTGGATGGCAAAAAATATGAGATTATTTGACAAGGTCTACAGAAATAAAAAATGACAAAGTCATATACAATAAATTTGCCCTAATGCAAAAATCAAAATTGCCGTGGTAAGAAATGCAACAAATTTGCCATGATTCACTAAACTAATTTTGGCAAGATCCATAAACTAAATTTGATATGGTCCAAAAAAATTAAATTTGCTATGATCCATAATCTAATTTTGCCATGCTTAAGTGTGAACTATATCTGTGTGTGCAAGAATTTGATATGGTCCATAAAAAAGCAAATATATCTCGCTTACACCGAGACATAGGGGGCCCCGCCTGTCTAACCGAAGCGTTGCCCGGGAAGTGCTATCCATGCTAAACGACCATATAGTCTATTTACCAGCCGAAAATAAGCCCATTTAACCATAGATCTTCAGAAAAGCAACCGGAGTAGCAGCCCATTAGGACATCCAAGCCATGTTGGCAGTAGATCACGCTGAACGTGTGTTGTAAGCTCATCCAACGTAGGGAGTCTGTGAGAGGGCTCGACCAAGAAGACCAGATCGTGAAATGGATGGCTAAAAACGCGCAAGGCGTGAGAGGGCTAGGAATTGGTTCAGTTTTACTATCCTACATATGTGTATTAGAAAACAATAGCCGCCTCTCGCCGAGTAGTGCCGGTCCTGCACTGATGAAAATCCTTCAAATAGCTCGCTTAACTTTTAGCCTGCAGTTGGTCTCTGCATCAACTGGGGCAACGAGATGGGCTCGCATGGTGGACTTGCTTGGATGCGGGGTGGCTTATTAGCTGACGCATGCAGACTCGACGCCTCTACCCGGTGAAACAATCCCCAGACCCCCGCCACGAAAGAACGAGCAAGGTGAGCTGCCCTGGGTGCGTCCTCGGCCACTAGAGTTCCCCGGCTGGTGTGATCTGGCATTCAGTCATCCGTTGTCGTGCATCAAGTGGAATAGCAATAGCCGCCTCTCGCGGTCTCGCCGGGTAAGGCCGGTTGGGGATATGGTCGACATTTGTATTGACCGTGATGTTAGGTTGCCCTAGCGGGCCAGAGACGGGCATGGGCAGGGTAGAACAAACGCATTACGAATATAATTATTTGTAGATTATTCACGACAAAGAATTCTCAAATAGTTCACCTGAATTTTCTGTTGTGGTGGTTGCTTCTTTTCTTGGTTGCAATTGGTCTTTGTGCCAATGGCTGCTATTGATTTCTTTTGACGGTTCACTTAACTATCATTTTATGTTTAAGATAATTCACTTAATTTCTGAGTTGTAATTGGTCAATTGGTTTCTTCACAAATACTTCCTCCGTTTTTATTTACTTCGCATATTAGAGTTGACTGAAGTCAAACTTCCTAAAGTTTGACCAAGTTTATAGAAAAAAATATAAATATTTATCATAACCAATCAATAATGAATCTAATGGTATTGATTTATTATTGTATATGTTAATATTTTTGTCTATAAACTCTCTCAAAGTTTAGGAAGCTTGACTTTGACCAAAGCTAATATGTGGAGTAAATAAAAACGGAGGAAGTAGTTCTCTTGACCTCCATAGTTCGCTTACTTGCAGGTTGGAGTTCATATCTGCGCCAATTGGCGCAACGTGGCATCTAGTCCCACGTAAAATTGCCATTTTTTGGCAAATATTTGACATTACCAACATTTAGCAAGCTAGATATATTCATACCAAACCAATTATGCTCAACAAACGGTCCAAAAACATAAGAAAAAAAGCTTAAAAAGGAAAATGGCTCTCACGGCTTGAGGTACCTCCGAACCCACGTTTCCTTGACTGCATCTCCCTCTGTTCTGTATCCACACTCGGCCAAACGACACCACTGCTTCCCTTGAATGTAATCCCTGATAGACATGAAGACATGACGAACCACATCTCCCTCCACGATCGGGTAATAGTAGCAGTACTCTGGACCTGGCACGGACGGATGGCAAAAAGGCAAGCTAGCGTCCGGACCTAATTTGTTCCAAGCCCAATTATGACCGTCAGTTGGGAGCACAGGATCGGGGAGTAGTGCAAGTGTCTGAGTCTGACAGTGCTCGATGCAGCGGCTTTGGCAACTCCAGCAAAGCAGCCTCCTGCAGCAGCTCCGGTAGACGTCTCCGACATCCAGACATGCGTCGCCCTCACACTTGAGCAGCAAGAGTCGTCCTTGCCTTAGCGTTGTGTCGGCGTGCTCAGGGTGCTCGCATGGCCTGCATCCTTCATCGCGAACCGAGGGAGCGACGAGGCTGGGGAGTTCGTCGTCTTGAATGCGCGCCAGGCTCTCCTGGCACAAGACAGGGAAGGCCAAGCTGCTCCGGGGGAGCTTCAGTTGGTCCAACGAGTACATGCTGTCCAGCTCTCCTGTCTTGGCGTCGTAGTACCCTAAAGCCCGTCCGGTGTTGAGAAGGATCCTTCCATCGTTACCATCGTCTATCTCCACCGGCATTACCACCTGACCCTTCGCGAGAGAATAATCAGGATGTTCGTCGAGGCATATCTTGTACGCACCAACCCACGAGGACATGTTCTTGGGCATCGTCCATATGACCATCTCTCCCGCACTAGCGTCCACGGCCACGAGCGAGAGCATTCCCTTCAGCTCGACAAGAAAGGCGTGGCGACGGTCATTATTCAAGCTTGGTTCACACGGAAGGATGTTGAATTCACGGGTGGAGATGTCCAAGGCAACGATGACTCGCTCGTGTCCGGGCTCGCTCGTCCAGTAGAGTGTCCCATCGACATGCGCTGGTGGCATATCGCTCACCATCCTCGGCGGCTTACCAATGCAGTTCCACTGCTTCTCGCTGCTCGTTTTGATCACGCAAGCCAAGGTTCCGTTGATGTATCCTATCTCGACGGCCACATGCTCTCCAGTTGACTGGTCGAAACCGAAACCGATGTTTCTACCAACCGAAAATGCGTGATGGCGTTCATGTCCAGCCGGTGTGAAGTGTGATTTGCCATGCCTTCCCAGACACTTGATGGCACCGGTGCATGGGTTGCACATAAAGTCATCAGTGTTGGTGCTTATCAAGTTGAGCCCGTGGCATGGTTTGGAGCATATGACCTTATCGTTGACAAGAGTGTCGGCAAGAGCGGGGCTTGCAGCTTCAAGCCAATTTCCCACCGTGGTAAATTCAAAGAAAGCACGCCGTGGACGGCCATTACTGGCCATCAAAATCCTCTTCGGCCTCTTCATTGACATGTGTGATATAATAAAACTCTCACTCTCGATGAGTGAGCGCCACTGTCTGCATACCAACATGGAATGAGCTATAGACTTGACCGGAAGTCGCGCTAGGATCTTGGTAACTGCCGATAATACCTCCTTATCTCGACTATTTGCCCCCTCAACCTGGACTACATTGTCCTCGTAGAGACCAAGCCAAAGCGCGGCAGCTGCCTCCTTTCGGCCGATCCGGATATTAGTCTTTGGAGCAGAGAAGACAAGTTGGATACCCCCCTCCTTTGGATCGTAAGCATGGACCTGGTGTTGTGACGTGGCGATCAATATCTTCTTCTTCTCCTGCTCATTGCCCGCACAACTGTCGCCGTCACTAGAGGAGCCGAGCACAGTGATGAACCGGGGGCTATGTACATCTCGTGCAAGAAGAGGTGTGACAACGATGCGGTGGTCTAGTGACCACTCATTGACAACATGATCCCTGAGCATCCATACATCTAGCCAGCTCCTACCTTGCCCTCGTCGGCGGAGATCATGGACCAGGCATAACGAGCCTTCTAGCTCCGCTAGATGCATTGGGACCGCCGGCAAGTTCTCGTCCAATTCTTTGTACTCTGCTGCCAAGTGCACACTTGAAGGTGCGTTGAGCCGTGTGAAGGTTTCCGTGTCAACGGAGAAGCAAAGAATGGCGTCCTGGCCATCCGGGGTGTCCATGTATGCCGGGTAAGCTAGCCAGTGCAAGCATCCATTTGCAAATACCGGAGGTATCTTTGTCACGGAGTCTTCGGTTCCCAAGACGGATTTTAGGATGTTGAACCCCAGGAGCTGAACGTCCTGGTTGGCCGGCCTCCACTGCTGAGTAGGATTGCAGAGGGCGTAAATATCGCACCCGAAATGCGTCATATCCTTGAAGAGATGGACCACCTTGCGCTCTTTGGTCCGATCATCGTACACCAGGCCGGCACTCGATTGCATCAAGCCACGGCGCTGCTTTGGCAAGGGGACACACTCTCCGGTGCTAGGGTTACACACCCAATAGACGCCGGAGCGGGTGTCCGAGAAGAGCATGGTGCCATGGCAGGGCTTGCTCGACAAGCACATGAAGTCGACGCGCACACGGTCGACGGTAAAGAGAGGATCCGCGACGGCGGCGCCTCGGGCGCAGGAGTAGACCGCCATGGACCCGTTGGCGTTGGGTGACGGCGCGAAGACGACGAACTTGTCCATGCGCCGGGCACGGGCACGGGCCTTGGCGGCGTAGACGTCCTTGAAGGCCGGGGAGGAGAGCAGGGCGGCCCATGAGCGGCAGACGACGCGAAACCGGAGGATGGACCTGGACGGGAGAAGCAGCAGGATCTCGGACAGGATCTCTTCCGGCAGGCTGGCCGCCGTGCATGGCGCTTGCCTGCTTCTCTTGGCAGTCGTCGGCGTGTCGGGTGCCATGCCGGAGTTACGGTGGCGACGCCAGGTCTGATTTGTAGATTGGTAATCACACCCACCCTTGCCGCGTGATATACTACTAGGCTAGGTCTGATGCGATCGATTTGGAAGCCAACAAGTGCAAAACGCTTGTCTTTATATATGGGCCAAGCAGTCCGATTCCAAGTATAATTCTTTTTTTTTTTACAAAAAACAGTTCCGATTATAACTTGGAAGTCTTTTCCGATAAGGAAGGCGAATAAAGCCGGTATCTGTATCGAGAAAGTTCAGGGACCAGGCAACGCTCGCGCGTCCGGTGGATCAAGGCAAGGAAGGCGATGGCATGCCAGCATCCGTTGCCTTTTTCCATGCCAAGGCCTCCACCACGTCGATCGTCGGCGATGATTCTTACACGGAGCAGGCTGATAAAAACAAGATGGCATCGTACGTACGTACTCCCTCCTCCGTTCCGAATTACTTGTTGCACGTATGAATGTATCTAGATGTATTTTAGTTCTAGATAGTCTACCTCGAGGCGCTGGGCGTCGGAAGGCTTGACCTCGACAAGTGGCAGACCTAGAGTCGCAGACTTGAGGTGCCACTGTTCAAAGTTTACGCTTAAACAATATCATAATCTTAACAAATGATTTTAAACTAGCATAATCTTAACAAATGGTTTTAAACTAGAAACAGAATATTATTCTGTTACCCCTCGCCTTATAAGGGCGCGATGCTCCCACCTCCCGGCGACCCGCCGCGGCCCCGCCTCCCATCCTCCCGGCGACCCGCCGCGCCGCGGCCCCGCCTCCCACCTCCTCGGTGACCAGCCACTGCCCCGCCTCCCACCTTCCTGGCGACCAGTCGCAGCCCCGCCTCCCACCTTCCGACAGACCAGCCACTGCCCCGCCTCCCATCTCCCCAGCAACCAACCGCGGCCCTGCGCCCCAACTCCCCGGCGACCAGCCATGGACACGCTTCCCACCACCCTTGTGACTAGCCGTGGCCCCGCACCAGCATATCCACGCCACCTCCGACTCCTTTTTGATCTCGCTGGTAGATCTTGGGTGAAGTCCTCCGGCACCCACTGATGCTTACCGGCCACCACTCTGCCTCCTCCCCGATGGGACTACGCCGCCGCGTACACGCAGTTCATCACCGCCACCCCAGGTCGTTCAATGTCGCCGCCATGGACGAGCCCCACTCCAGCGCCATGGTTCGTGCTTCAACGCAAACACTGGAGCCTGCAGGAGGAGCCGCGAGGTCGAGAACCATCCCGCCGACCGCAGCCGCCCCGCCTTCCCGCCGACCGCAGCCGCCTCGCCCCCACGCACTACTTCCTCCGGCCCCCGTCCAGGTATGGGGCTCCACCAGTCCAACTCTTCCTCCCTTATCTGTCCGAGATCCTCCTACCATGCTCCTTCATGAACGAGCTTCAACAATCTAAACTTCTTTCCAATATTGACACCTTTACTCATGCACGCAACTAACAAATTAACCTGTCAGGTTCGTGCTGATTTGGGACTAAGATAAAAAGTTAAAAACTGGAGGCTGATGTTGACCAGGTAATTATACTGACAGGTTTGTGGTGATTTTTCGTGTTCTAACAACAGGAAAAATGGTGGATAAAAGCGCAGGTTATGTCGCTACGGGCGGCTGCCACAACTGTAAGGTACATGCTTCTAAAAATTGGCCATTTTTTTGGGTCTACATCGATGATTTGCCCTACTGGTTGTAGTGATTTTAAACAAAGGATGTAGTACTACTATGCAGTCATCGATATCTGCTACTGCTACCAAACTGAACCTAACATTGATTTGTTTTCAGTTCTATTGCGCTCAAGCATAGGGAGGGATTCACGTGTTATCGATGGATCACTACCGGTAACTTAACTTATTGTGTCAGTTCTAGTGCCACGCTAGCTAAGGTATAAATGTACTGACTGTTCATACCTTTAATCTGTTCAGTTTGTGAACATGTATCAGTTTCAGTGTTAAAATAGGAACACAAATAAGTTAACTTTGCAAGTGCATCAGTTCACCTTGAATGAAATACAAAAGTGGACCATCAAGTTTTTCCATCAGTTCGCTTATTAAAAAACAGAAAGTTGGTTGTGTAAAGAAAACTGGAGAACCAATGTCAGCCTAGAAGTTTAGGTCGTGGAGCAAGCCTGCGCAAAAAAAGGACTCATGTAGCGCTTCTCCAGGTTGTCCACTGTGTCAATGGCACTCAATCACAGCAATCTCTCTCCTTCTCTGCTTCTGCTATTAAAATGCATACAAGTGTTGTTATGCTAATTGAGTAGCTTTTCTTGCTCTTTCGGTGTTTGTCACTATTCCTGTGAGCACCATTTTGATATGCTTATTTTGTGCTCCCATGAATGTTTTTGGAGCAGTACAAATACATCATCATAGTGAGTAAAGATGTGGCACCTTGGGAAGTACTACCATTAATGTTTGGATCAAGTTCAGAACAGAAAACCCAGAAAAAAATGTGTGCAAAAGAAACATCTTGTTGGATTCTCTATGAATACATGATAATTGGCTTTAGGTTGGTACTTTCCTTGAAATGCAGTTGCTTGGTATCTCACTGGATATCCCCCCTCATTATTAGCTGATGATGTGGATGATTCTGTTTGTTTACTTAATAGGACAGGGACATTTTCCTCTCTGATTCTTGATGTGCCGCTGCCGCGGTTTGTCTACCATGCCACAAGAAACTAAAATGCTTTTCAGTTCATCTACTCCGCGATTATTTTTCTGCTGCTACAAATGTGTGTGTACTGCTACAAATGTGTGTGTGCTGCTACAAATGTGTGTGCTGCTACAAATCTGAATTTCTTGTCTAGTCATACTGATTTTCAGAAAATTATGTATTTTAGATGAGCTTTGTTTTTCTATTGTTCTGCAAAGTGGTTCTTTTGCAGCCCACTAGGTGTTGGTGCAAAATGTCAAGTTTCTTTGTGTCGGTCCATTTCAATTTAATTTTTTCAGTTTAGTTCAATTTCAATTCTGATTATTAAATTATGTACCCATGCTTGGTCTTCTGACTACCTTTCATGCTAAAAATTGTCTATTTTTTCTTTCTTAAGTGCATATGATGTCTTACACTTCATCTCTGATCTTCAGGTAAGTTTATGTGGACTCTATATCAATCCTGATGTAGAAAAATGTACGTGTGATGTCCAGTTTCTTCTTTTGGTCCAGTTCAATTCTTATGAGTCGTCCCGGCAACACGTCACACGCCCACCAACTTCCTACGATTGGGCCACACCACCACCGGCCCGTCCACAACAGTTGCTGGCAGCCGTCCAGGTTGAGAGCTGATGGTAGTTCTCTCCATGTGTCAACGACACTT